AATAAAATTCATTTTAATATGTTATTTCCTAAAATCTTAGGCAAATTCCATATATGATAAAATAAAAAATAATAAAAAATTGATTCTAAGTAATTAATAAAAACATTTCATACACTTAATACTTTATAAACAGAATTCATTACAATAAATTATCATCATAGAATTAGTCTCTTACAATAATCACTGAAATAAAGCTTAATAAAATTAGTTTCATTTTGATAAATAAATTACTATAAAGTATAAAACTAAAAATTTGCTCTAACTCAATAAAATTTTACACAAACTGTGATTCTTTACCAAGTTTCCATTTTCTTTATTTTGGACTCCAAAGACTGAATTTTCAATTGAGCTTGATTTCGAGATTGTTCTGCAGTAGCAAGACGTTTAGTAAGATCGTCAAACAGTAAACTGTTTTGTGGTTTACTCTGCAAACCTTCTTTATGTAATAATTCTAATTCTTCTTCTGCTGCTCGTTTTTCTCGAACAACACGATCATACTGTGTCTGCTTTTCATTATTATCCTATAAAATAAATCTTCATATTAATGTGATTTACATTATCAGTAAGCTGCAGATTTTCTGGTGAAAAAATTGACTAATTTGGTGGATGGAATGTAGGACATTTTCCCTTAAAATGGTGAAAAATTGGTTCTGATTTTATATGTACAATAGACCCCCTATAAAACGGGTTCATATAGTTCAGATTCCTATATAACAGCAAAAAAATTGTGACCATATTCGTATAAACACGCTAAAAGAGACTTATATAATTTAGTAAAACGTCATCGCGGACTCATGTCACGACAGAATTGGTCGAATCTAGACCAATAGCAGATATTGCACAAACCGTTAAGTTTAAACGAGCAGAGGACCTACTAAAAACCATTTATTATTTAATGTCCATAAAAATTATATTTATATTAATGATGTCTCCAAAGTTCAGCAAAGTTTTTGCAGAAAAATAATTTATCAGGAAGCATATGAGCGCCATTCGATGCACCGCTCCACGACAAAAACAAGCTTAAGCAATGGCGTCATCGAATGATGCACACTTGGTAAGTAATCCTACAATTTTTTGTTTATAGCATAGTTTATATGGATTATTCCCAAAAATTATACGTATTTTGGAAATGTTGAGTCGAATTAGTCTAGAATCGATTAATTTTATGGAAGAAAACCTTTCAAACAGCTGTAGTTTGTGAACTGCATACGTGCTGGGCTGTGATTGGCTCATGTATTTAAGGACTCGTAGAAAATGGATTTCATAAAAACAGGAATGTATCTACCATGTTATAGGGGGGCGACTGTATTTATGATTTGTTAATTTGTGAAATAAACAAATAAATAGTATTTTTTTAATAAGCTTATTATCCTGCACTGAATTATTAACATTGCTTTGCTTTGTGTTGGAATTGTAATTGGTTAATTGTAATATTATGTTGTATGCCTGTACATACAGGATTTCTTTGTACTAATAAATAAAATAAATAAATGAAATTTTACCAGTAACATAACTTTCCCAAGAAAATGGCATTTTATTTTCTGAATTAGCATACCTGAGAACATTTCTGTTATCAAACCTGAAACTTTGCTGGTGGTTTTTGTAAGTTGAGAAAGATTTGTCAACATCAATAAATGCCAATGGAGTATATATTGTTTTTACAGCATATTCTGAGTCCAATGTATTTGTTGCTACATATTCTAAGTCTGGATTTTTGGATGAACTATTTAATTTTTGCTTGGTAAAGTCATCTTCCAGCCTACTTCACACTTCACATTTCTGCTCTTGTTTAGTCAAATAGTTTTTTTTGAGATGTTTTATTTGTTGTGTCAGAAATTTGAAAATGTGAACAGTGAAAAGTTTACAGATTGTGTCCTCCTTCTAAATAAGTTTTTTGGCATTTGTTATGGCTTCAGAATTTAATCAATCCAAATTTCCAAGATATTTACTTGATAGTATCAAAATTTTCAGCATAAAACATGGCTACATCAATCCAGGTAGCTCATCTTGTTTTAATCATGTAAGTTGAAAATGATATCCTTGTAGATTTTTCTGATGAAAAGATGACTTCAGCTGTACCATCCTCATTTCCATGTCAAATCAGTTAGCATATTCCACCTGAATGCTTTCACATCCATGATGTAATTCATGTGCAATGCAAGTGATATTCTTCAATTTGCTAAACAAATTCTTAATGAATGCAAAGACAAAAGCATATATGCTGCTTGGTCTGTCATCATATTTTATGCCTGTAGGCTTCAAGACACTGTATTTATATCAAAAAATGCTCAGCTAACTATAGTACTATTTGTTCACTACACACTGTACATTTTCAGTAATGCTGAAGTAGCAGGCTTTCCATCAAAGGATACACTGTGAATCTCTCATTTAATCCAGGAAGAAATATATGGGATTGTCAACAATTATAGTACTAATTCATTCAATTACAGAGGTATATAAAGGAGAAACAATTTTTCCTTAACATGCTTTCATCAGGGTTTTTACATATTTCTTGAATAAATGTTTAAGTGTGGAATGCTTCACCTTATGGAGAGGTATGCCTTTTTGAAGAAATAGAGGTCATGCTTGTAAAAATTTCATTTTCTGGCATCTTATTGTTTGGCTTTCTGTTCAAGAGATGGCACAATGAAGTTTTGGCATAAGGTAGACCCTGATTTGATAGGTGCTTCAAATTCTTTGTATGCAGGTCAAGATTTTTGATGATTTATATCTACTGTTATTACATTGCAGAAATTACAGAAAATTACTAAAACTGTCTGTAACAATACCTTCATTTTCTTATCTTTTTGTGATATCTCAGATTTTTCTGGTACTTAATTTCAGTTTTTTGTTTCCTTTTATTGGTAACTAGTAGCCCGGGACACCCTCTAGTGGGCGTTATTTACAAATTTCCATGAGGCACGGTTCCTTTGACTTTTTTGTTCCTATCAATATGCTGTACAGTTCCGTTAAAGTCCCAATGGTAAGATTTACTCTCCGAATGAAGAGGTGGTGAACCCCCAAACCGTACACCCCTGTATTAACAATAAAGTCAAAGGAGTCATACCCCTACTTGCGACCCTTCGAGAGATATAAGCCCCTGAAATAATAAATTCCTATTACAAATATACTGAATTATTTATATTGTTATATTGACCAAATAATAATTTATTGGCAAAATGAATAATAAAAATTTATATCGTTAATTTAAATAAGAATTAAAATTGTTAATTTGAATGTTTGAAATATGANGACCAAATAATAATTTATTGGCAAAATGAATAATAAAAATTTATATCGTTAATTTAAATAAGAATTAAAATTGTTAATTTGAATGTTTGAAATATGATACACGATAGGGGCGCCTCTAGTGTCCGTTTTCAAACGGTTACGGGACAGACGGACAGTTGAATGGGTTATATATATAGATTATTTAATTGTTTCCAAAAATTAAAACAAAGGAAAAGATGGTATGCACAAGACTGAAATGTGACATTGACACAAATACTGCATGAAAGAAGGGAAACATGCATTATTTCTTGATGCTTCACTTAAAAATAGCCAAAATTTTATCAACTTATTCAAAAACTTCTCTCAATCATTTGGGTGGACTTGTGGTTGGTAATATAGGAAGTAGTGAAATTTGTTAAACTTTGTGGCAAACTGTGATTTTGGTAAATTTTTTTTGTTTTTCCCAGATCAAAGTGTCCTATTCTATGTATATTCATACTTTGTTTCATTCTCCCACCTTACAAATAATAAATGTTGGTGGAACATCAAAAAATCTGGGGTTTTTCAGTTGTATCATATTTCTGTTAAATTTAAAAGTTTATTTTAAGTTTTAAAAATTATTTTAATATTTAAATTCATGATTATTGTCTTAAGCAATTTCAAGAATAAATTTTAAAGACAATTTCCTATCATAAAAATATATATATTTAAATATTTTAACATATATGCAGAATGTAAATGCACAGTAAAAAGCTTTTGTGTAATATATATAACATATTATTGTATATAATATAATATAAAATACATATTGTACAATATGTATAAACTTATTACTAGGAATTAATTGAATTAGGAATTTACTCACCAATTCAAGAATATATATTTCTTCCATTAAGTTTTTGATATTTTCATTGCACCTTTTCTTAATACTATCAACCTAAAAATATATTTTGTCTATTACTTAATTATAAAAGTAGTTTTAAAATTTAATAGCTCAATAATAATTAACTGAATAAACACAAAGAAGAAACATACTTCTAATTTTGTTCTTTGGGCAGCATTTTCAACTAACTGATTAATAGATGCTTGTAAACGTTCAGCTTCTTTCAAGGCTTGCTGTTCTCTAAATAGAGCTTCTTCTTTCTGTAGAACTGCGTTTTCAGCTACTCGAATGCTTTCTTTGGCTTGCTGAATAGCTTTTGATTCTTGGATTAAAAGTTCTGCACTTCAAGAAATAAATTAATAATA